ATCCCAAATGTGATAGCATTTGGAGGTGGGGCCTTTAGGAGGTAATTAGGTCATGAAGATGGAGCTCTCATGATAGGATTAGTGTCCTTATAAAAGAGACATGAAACTAATATAATGTGACAAGTAAATTATATCTAAATTCTTTAAATTTAATTTAATTACAAATTTTTTTTTAAAGAGACATGAGAAACATGACCTGTGTGAGGACACAGCGAGAAGGCAGCCATCTGCAAACCAAGAAGAGAGCCCTCACCAGTAACCAAATCGGCCGGCACCTTGATCTTGGACTTCCCAGCCTCCAGAACTGGGAGAAATGAACATTTGTTGCTCTAGCCACCCAGTCTATGTTGTTCTGTTTATAGCAGCCTGAACTGACAGTGGGCAAGTCATTTCACCCCTCTGAGCTCTGACTTCCTCTTCTGAAAAATGTGGATGGTAAAATTATTTGTCCCTTTCCTCCCTTCCTTCCTTCCTTCCATCTCTCCCATAGATGTCAAAGCATATACAAAAGACCCTGAAGTGTCCAAAGCCCTAGACAAATATAATTTTCATAAAGTCCTGTGGAACCAGTTAACCCAGTGCCTCTACCATCACCATGGTTACGACAGGGATGCTACCCTCTTGAGAGGATGACAAACTGTCCCGGGCAACAGAAGCTCATGTACAGGACGGTGACAACTAGCACTACAGAAAGACTGGACTTTGGTGTTAATGCACATCAATAATCCTTTCCTAATTACCAATTAATATTCATACTAAGTCAACAAGCATGAATAATAAGTAACAATAAAAAGTATCCACTTCAGCTTGCGGTCAAGGTAGATCCCTCAAGAGTGGAGTCTCATAACGGCAACCACAGTCGTAATCACAACCATATTCACAGTCACAGCCATAATCACAACCACGGCCATCGTCACGACCACAGTCATAATCACGATCAGGATGGCAGCTCACATTTACAGAACACTGTGCTCGCTGCCAGGCCTGGCCTGGGAACTGGTCTGCTGGGTCTCAGCCAGGGAGCTTGTTGAGGCGATGGTGGTGGTGGAGAGGCTAGAAGGGAAATTGTGAGAAGTTTCTCTTCTTGGGGAATACGGGGGAGGGAGGGAAAGGCAGACCGTAGGCTCCACGACTCGGGGTAACATCTTTCTCGCTCACTACTATTTGCCCAACACCTAGCACAGAGCTTGGCACATAGTGGACACACTCAAGAAACGTTTGCTAAATGAACACCGAGGGGCCCAGACAGGGCGTTCCTGGGGAAGGAGCGGAGACTTCTTGGTGTCCAGGAGCATATCTGGACCTGAGGTCAGAGGATCGAATTCTCTCTCCATGAGCCTTTGATTCCCAGTAACTCTCCACCCACACGAAGACTGACACTGCAGGTCGCGCTGGCCTTTGCTCAACAGCTCAGATGATCCTGGCATCGTCGACATACCCTAACCTGTGACACACACACACACACACACACACACACACACACACGCACACACCACGTCTCCTGGCTGCAGAGTTGGAGCCAGGCCTCTGCAGCGGGAACCAAGGACCCTCCCTGGGCTGGGTGCCCTCACCCTGGATCCAAAGGGCTCAGGAGGCGGCTACCTTCCGCCTGGGCCCCCTCGGCTAGGATCTGATTTTCTCATCATCTGGATAGTCTCAGCAACTCGCAGCGCAGGGATGAACCAGCCTGACCTTTCTGGAGGTTTGTTTAAAGCAGAACAATGTTTGTCTTGTCCAAACACTATGAATTACTCCAGAGAATCCTGACCAGTTTTACAATCCGCAGCTACAAACGGCTTACATAAATAGGGACTCGTCCCCTCCCTGGCCCCCCTCTGTTCCTAACAGCTTCTCCCCCGCCCCCCCCCCACCC